GTTTATTTAACTAAACAAGAACAACAAAATTCTTTAACTAATTTTTGTAGGTTTATTTAACCAATAGTTTATTTTAAAAATTCAGCCAGATTCAGCTATATTCAGTAGTTACCATTTACATTTCAAGGTATTCTGCTAGATTCTGCAAAAATTCACAAAAAATTCAGCCAGATTCAGCCACATTCCGCTGTTACCATTTACACCCTATGTGAAGGAGTTTCCCAATGTACATCAATGATCACAATCCTTCCGGAGTGGAATTATTTGTGGCACCAATAATTCTTTTGCTAAAAAGAACCAATGATTTTGAGTTAATTCACACTTTAAGATGAAAAAATTTTATGTAACTAAGTGGGAATGTGATAGTGGTTCTCACTCATAAAACTTATAAATCTAGGTAATAGATCAGTTTCCCCAACCATATAATTGTCTAACCACTTTCATATAGCCATTAAAAATGATGGTATGTTGTAGAGACTTATTAAAAATTAGGTGAATGGAATATTTAGCAACTACATTCACCTTAAAAACTAGTCAGAAGATGGATCTTATAAAAAAAAGAGAGTTTCAATATCACACAAATAACTTCTTTAAATAACGTCGAGTAGTCATCAATTGAGCAAACTTTTGAATTTTTTTGTACGGCCTGAACAAAAGGAGAGATTGTATTTTGTGCAGTGCATCTTTGTGCATTCTACTTCAAAAATAGTAAAATACTATCAAAAAGTCAAAAGTATCTTAATCGTTTGTAGATACGACTTCAAAGTTTTTATTTTCCAAGTCAAATAATTTGAAATCACATGATGATACGACAAAAGGTTAAATTAATGTGCATATACGTCAAAAAAAAAATGTGAATATAACAACACTGTCAAAACACTGGACTTGTATATACAGTATATGACTCGGCATCTTTGTCAACGTATTAAACAAAGAACTAAATACCCTTGAAAAAAAACAATTCCCACTCAACAGTTTTGGTTCACAAAAATATCACACATTTTTCTGTTATTAGTATACATGATGTCTATATAAAATGATATGGTAAAGAATTAAAGATTGCTAAGATTTTTACTCTTTGATACCTTGTGTTCTTACATCTATAAACGAAACGATTTGCTTTGTTATCTTTCTGATTTCTATGCTCCAAGTAGTCAAACTCAAAGTGAAACGAGAGAAGAATAAATTACTAACAAAATGAAAAGAGTTATGGTCTTGTTCGAGTTTTCTCTGACAACAAAAACATTAAAAACAAAAAATCTCCAACATATCTTGTCATCTCACGCATTTAGAACACAGAAATAGCTAAGAGAAAAAAAGTTTGATGTTCTTGTTTACTTGGGTCCTCCTCCGAATTTGCCCATCATCTTTGCAATCACTGGAGCCACCTTCNGATTCGCCTGATGCTTCGCTAGATTCGCAGGGTTCTTCATCACTGTTTCAACACTCAAAACATGTAAGCACTCAAAAAGGAAATACTCAAAACATTTAACTGTAACTCAATCATACCATCTTGAAGAGCAGCCATGACTTCTGGGTCGCTAAATGCCGTCATTAGCTCAGGATCCTGCTCACAAAATTTGAAACCAATCACACAGTTTCAGTCAATACAACTTCAAAATGAGAACTTTGCTAATTCACAAAGAGCCACACTTACATTCAAGATTTTGCTGAAGTCAACACCACCTGGCATCCCACCACCACCGGGCATACCGCCTGCACCGGGCATACCGCCTGCACCAGGCATACCGCCTGCGCCAGGCATACCGCCTGGAAATCCACCGGGCATACCACCAGCACCAGGCATACCTCCTGGGAAACCACCAGGCATTCCTCCCATTCCTGCCGGGAACCCACCGGGCATGCCACCTGGGAATCCACCGGGCATTCCTCCCATTCCTCCTGGGAACCCACCAGGCATGCCACCTGGGAATCCGCCGGGCATACCTCCTGATTGTCTGCTCGATGAGGACTGTTCTTGTTTCTTAGCTTTATCATAGGCAGCCTTTACAGAAACGGAAAAGAGACATGAGTAAGCCCAACAGAATTAAAAAAAAAAAATGATTCTTAAATAAACCCACATATACTGTATAAAGCTAAGTGATAATGTCAATAAACTTGAGGCTAATATCATCAGAAGATTATACTGATCGATTTCATGGTCTAATAAAACCCACATATACTGTATATAGCTAACTGATAATAATGTCAATAAACTTGAGGCTAATGCCATCAATAAATTATTCTGATTGATTTCATGGTCTAATAAAGCTACCTGTGCTTCAGCGCGGCGACGTTGTCTATCACGCGCAGCCTTCTTGTCATCTCTTTCCTTACGTAGTCTGTCATACTTTCTACGGTGCTCCTCTAGCTTATGAGCATTGGGTTCAACCTACAAATTTCAAGAAAATTTGTGTAATTGAATCATGTTAATGCATTGTTTATGAATTATAAACAAAAAAAGAATTAAACATGTAGAAAAGCCCACACATACCTTTTTTAGTACAGCACTAATTTCCTCATCATAATCAATCGTAGATGCAAGGTGAAGGTCTTTTGCTGCCTCTGCCCATTCTCCAAGCATGGCACGAGCCATACCTCGTGACTTGTATCCCTTGGCAGAATCAGGATTAATCTGCAATCTCAAACACGAAAAGCTTAAATATCATAACTAGATAACATATTTCTCAGGACAAATTATAAATCATTGTACCTCCAATGCGGCGTTAGCATCTCGAATAGCAGCGTTTGGCTTCTTCAACTTAATGTAAACACTAGCTGAAACACAGATATAGACAAATTAGGCACACACAGAAACCCGATTTGATGGAAGTTAAAAGAACAAAATCAACTTGTACTCACCTCTGTTTCCATACATAATAGCTGATGTCGGATTCAACGTTATTGCCTGAGTTAAATGCTCAATTGCTTCATCAAACTTTCCTTCAGAAAGAGCCTCCATGGCTTTGCCTTTGGCTTCTTGAGCAGCTTCGCGATTCTCATCAGTCACCTCCACCGATGAATCACCCATCTATATCAAATACAAAGAGAGTCAAGAAATATAATCTGAGAGAAATTAGTAAACCAAAAGCCGAGGTTTTGTTTGGTAATCTCACCTTCTGAGGAGGATCATTATCAGGTTCAACAGTATCTCCTTCAAGCTCAACATCAGATTCAACA